ATATGTCACTTGTCATTTTTTTACATCAACTTTTTTGCTGAATACTTGTAGATGTGATGAGTATGTAAAAATATGATAATATGAAAATATGAAAATATAAAAATATAAAAATATAAAAATATAAAAATATATAAATATATTTTTTGGATTGAGTAGATGTTTAATTTGATGTTAGATTATAATGATGAATAAAAATTTCAGTTTAATGTCAAGATCTCGGAATAGTTTGAGTTTCAGGGGCTGAGGATCACATGGATGGCATCTGTGTTAAACTGACTTTTTTCATTTCCACAATTTTCTATGCTTTTATGTAAAAACGTGTCTAGTTCGTGTTCTGGTGTGTTTCGAACACGTGTTCGACACTCGTTCTCAAGCCGATGCCTTTGACATACCCCGACATCAATATTCTCGTCGTCTTCTCTACATTTTTATGCATCATATTTCTTTTATCTCGTTACTCTCCACCGATTGCAGCAAAAAATGACGAAGTATGAAACGTAATAATATCGCTGGATTCCGATTTTTAAATTCAAAACATCATGATTATTTTATTATTATTTTCCTGGAGAAATTTCCAGGAGTATTACAGATAAAAAAATATACTTGGATCAAGTATATTAATATATTAATATAAAAAATATGGTTTCGCACGATTTTCATTTGAGACTACGGAAAAATTGCAGTTTTCCGAAGGAAAGGGAAAATTCCGCGGGAAAAATGAATAACACATTTATAACATCCAAGGATTTTCCGGAAAACCACTAAATTTTCCATCTCAGTATTCACACGTCGGGAGGAGGGAAAAAGGAGAATGAAAATAGAGGAAAATAGGGTGAAAATGGAGGGGGTTGAAGGAGGTTTTCTCGCGGCGGGAGTGGTTGAGAAACGCGAGGGTGAGTACTTGGGGTATATTGCTTTTTACGCAACTATGGATACCTCTCGTAGAGTATCCCTAGTGATATTGCCCAGGGCATCGTTGTGCATCCTTTCATGATCGCATATTCCTCTCCCCATTCGACTAGTGAATATTTTCATGAACTTAAATTTACCGCTGAAAAACATTTCCATAAAGTGTCTTGCATAACAGAACATAACGCGAACCCAAATTTATATCAACCAATAACTCCAAGAGTAATAAATAATTGTTGTAATTATCCCCAAAAAGTTGAGATATCGTTAATTAAATCTCACGAGTTGATTGAAAATAGAAATAAATAAACGAGTTTGATGGAATATTTTGTAATAATTAATATGGAATTTTGGAAAATAGATTGTAAATTTATATTGTTTTA